ACGATGAGATCTTGTGGGGGATTAGAGTGTTGAGCTTGTGGAGAAATTTGGAAACTTTAAAATAGCCATCAACTCGGCTCGGCGGGGGCACTACTATTAGAGCAAATACGGTTTGAGAATTGGATAAAATAGACATTGACTCAAAATAAAGCAAAAGTTTTCTTTATATTAGACATAATCCTGGGATATTTTGCTTTTGGCCTAGCCTGAACAACAGAATTTTTAAACTGATTTGAAGCTTCTTTAGACTAACTTACTTCAGAAGCAATGTACCAAAAAGTTCTTGTCAAATTTCTTGTTTTTTCTGTTCTTGTCTTTCTTGTATGTGTGTTTGGATCAAGACTTTTTACTCTTTTACACTTTATCGTACAAATTTTGGTTATCCAACCACAATTTATCCATTATTTGTATTAGATTGGTGCATAAGTCTTTACAATTTTTTTTCCAAACGTCTTTTAAAAATAATTCCTCCACTAACAAAATTTCTATTTGAACTCTTAAAAAGGTTGATTATTTCTCTCCAAAATGGCTCTTAAGGAATTCTTGGGAGTAGTTGTTTTGTGGATTTTCAAAGAGGCAAAGGCGAGCACCAAAAACTGCTCTGATACCGAAGTCCGGACGACATCGGAGCAGTTTTGGACACTTTCTTCAATACAAACCTATTTTGGTGTCAAAGTAAAAAAGATAGAGCTTATTTGATTAAATAAGTCTGTAAAATTTGAAAACGAACGTTCAGCCATTTTCTTTAAAAAAATAATTGAAAATTTCACACAAAAATGCAATAATTACAATGTCAACGAACTTTAGGTTCCTGGGAAAACTTCAAAGAGACGCTGAAAATCTTTCTCCAAAACGGGATCCCAAGTCAAAGAGTGGACACTGTTGTTGGGCTGATTGGAGAAAAGCCAAGAGATTTCGGCGAGGCTCCAAATTTGAAACAAATCAAGAAATTGTTCATGAAAACTCCCGGAGTCTCTTTATTGGAAAACGCCTATGAATCGGATAAAGTACAAAGGATTTTGATGGAATCTTTTCATTTTGATGATCTCTCTATTGAGCATTTCTCGGCAATTCCACTGAAAAGTTATTTGGATAGCAAATTTTTCAAAAAACCATTGCCAAATGGCCAAAATTTAGTCTTTATGGTATATGAGCTTGTGAATTTTCGGTATTTTATCGCATTTATGATTGTTTAAAATAAAGATATGAGATTGCTTGGTTTTTGCATAAGGAAATCATTTACATTTAAGAAACTAAGTGTATTTCAAGCAATATTTTTGGAAGAAGTCCCTTCCAAGCTTCGAGAAACCACCCTGAATCTCATAGAAGAGGTCTACACTTACACAGTCAAGCCAGAGATAAAGGTAGCTATTGAAAAAGCTATTGTTTTCTTGATTTATTTGATAATACATCTACACTTACTGCTACTAATGGCTCGATAAATGATAAAAAAACTTTAGTCTGCTTTAAAAGAAGTAGCTGAAACAGTCAACGAGAAAACAACTTGGCGCTGACGCAGAAAGCACCATTCAAAGCGTATTTGGTGAGATTATTCTTGAAACCCTTCGCTTTATATCTTTTAGCAACACTACCTACAAATCTGATTGTAATGGACGAAGAACAAATGCAGATACTCATACTGATCATTGTATAATTGTCATTTACAACAATAATTTATCAAACATATCATTATCTATCTTTCGGTTCATCATTGTAGCCATAATTTTGATGACTGTTAAAGTTATTCAATCTCGAGAAGAATAAAGGACTTCGAAAAGATGGAATATTGATTGGATTTCCTTTGAATTTTACATAAACACCAAAGAGACAAAAAGCAACAACGATAAAGATCAGGAAAATCGTTGTCAAAATGAAGCCGGATGATTCTTTTGGAGTGAGATCTAAAAATTACTCTTGTAGTTGAAAGTCCACTATCATAAAACTCACATGTTTCCGCTTGGATCTTGAAGCCACGAGCCGTATCGGAGCTGTCACTTACAAAGACAATAGCCACATAATTCCCAGTGATCGTCTTTCAGTTGCCATTTTCAAGTTGTGGACTACATTTGTAACTGGATTAACTAACAAAAATCAATCTTACTGATGGGTATGTGCGTTTTTCTCAAAGTAATACAATTGATCTCCATCTGGGGCCAAATCATAGTCAAGAACCTTGAATTTGATGCCAATTCCCTCTTCGGCATTGAAATGGTAGATACAATGGAGGCTATTACAGTAGATAAATTCAAAAAGGAATTGTTAAAGCTTTGCAATATTAAGCTACTACATTATTTGTTGATTATTTGGTTAATCAAACACTGGTGAAAGTGACTTTGAGTAAAATCTTTCACTCACTTCTTTGGTTTGGTTTTGATGTGTTATGCGCCCGGTTGCGATTCTCTACCGAAAGGATACACTGATAGTAATAGTCTTGGATGTGGGTTTTTGAGCTCTTGAAGTTTTTGGCGTACTGTAGCCATTTAAGCTTATTGTAGCTAGGTCATAAAAGAAGAATAAAAGCTTTTTGTTTGAGCTGTCACCGCAGAACCAAACGAGTGTCCAGCCGGTGCTGAGTGCTACTACTACGAAGGGAGCAATTTAAGTTACATTCTTTAACTATAAACAATCGTGATTTGTTTGTCTTAATAAAATTGAATGAATACTTGAAAAAACATTTCAAACAGTTTGCGGGTTTTTCTCTTCAAACCCACTTATCCAACGTTGTCTTTTGTCTAGACGCGAGACATCACTTTAATGCACTAATTCACTCTAATGCATCGGAAAGAAAGGGAGATCACAAGATCAATCGAAAGTTTCCCGATAGATTCAAATATCGGAGGAATGAGTGAAATGGGGAAAGAAGTGTGAGATTTTGTTCCTCATTTTTCTAAAGATGTCTAATCTTGTGCGACTATTGTTTCTTATTCTGACGTTTAGCATTTTAAAAACAAATGCCTGTATGGGACTCTCGTTTTCGACATTACCAAGTGGGTAAAGTTAAACGAATTGATGGTTTTTATGAAGTCGTGGTTAGATTAGATTTTGAATTCGGCTTAATATTGGAAGAAATTGGCTTTTTTAAAATCTGTTTAGCCACTTCTACTTCAACAACCACAACCACAACAACAGTAAGTTATTCTGAAAGTTGTCAAAGTCTTTATCGTAACAACTATATTGGTTTGGTTTAGACAACTACTACCAACACCGACACAACTGCAACACTCACAACGACTACCTCAACAGGAACCTCAACGACGACAAATACTGATACGTCAACAACAAACACTGCTACTACAACCACTTCCACAGCAACTACGACAAATACGGCAACGAAGACGACCGATACAGACACAACTACGACTGCAACCACCACAACTACTTCAACGACTACTACAACGACCAATACTGACACTACTACAACCACGACAACAACCACTACATCTACAACTACTACAACGACGATTACTACCACAACTTCCACAGCGACTTCTACTACGACCTCGACCACAACAACAACCTCTACAACGACTACTACCACAACTACGACTACAACAACTACCACCTCAACGACAACTACAACGACGACAACCACGACAACTACTACTCCAGCGTTGCCAGGTTAGAAAAAGAAAATAGGCCTAAGATTGGGCCGAACTTTAAAGACACTTTTCGCACAAATAAAGCCTTCTTTAAATACATGTTTTGTTTTATCAAAAAGGCTTCACTATTCTCTACAGAATGACTTTTGACAGATGCTACTAAGCTTTTCTTTCGTGGAGCTTTCACTCTCAAACACAGCTAATGGCAAAAACAGTTAAAAAGAACTCGTCGTTTGAACAGTTTCTTCCACATAAACCTCTTTTGGTGTAGATAGAGCACACTCAATTACATAAGTTGCCAAATTTTCAGGAAGATCCCTCTAAACCGTTTTCTTTAGATGACAGCTTATAGATTTGGTCTTTGGTCTTTTCTTGAGCTGAGACGATGTTTGAGTTCTCTTTTAAATGCCATTTTGTAGAGAATTAGTTAACCTTTCGATTGATATCAAACGCGTATCATTTGAAGAAGCCTGCTAGAAGTTTTAGAAATTTCTTTGATTTTCGGCGCCCCTTCATTCTCCTCAACCCAATAGAAGAACATTTAGTAATGAGAAGTGCTTGCTCTTTTCTGAAAGCTATCTAAGGAAATTGACTGTCTCTAGATTGTGTATGCGATTTGCCAATTAACGCTCCACCATTTCTTCCTGTGCCGATTGGACCAACAGGACAGTGAGTGAAATTTACTCTTATCATTTAAAGCTGTTACAGATGCACCCCGGTGCCAGCGTTTTATGCTTGTCAAATTGGGAGCCCGGCTGATGGGCTACAATATATGCTTTTTGACATGGTTATTAGAATCATTCACTTTATTGGATTCACAAAACTTTAGAATGGCAATCAATTGTTTGACTCTGGTTATTATTGCTCAAAAGATGCCGCTATGAATTTTGATCCGACTTGCGTCTGTCAAACGGTTCCCGCGGCTCCCGGGAATCTGAATTTTCCCTTTTGTTCGGTAAAGGAAAAAGTTCAAAGCCTGAAGTCAGTTGATTTTAGGGTAGCTACGCTCCATATGCAATGTGCACAAATTTCTTTGATGATCCTACAAATTGTCTTTGAACGATCTGTGAATATCTCGCGTCTGAACGATTTCTAAATCTCAATTTATATCTCGTGGTTAGCAGAATAAGCGTCTTTAATTTGTGAAAAAAGGATGACGTTTTGCTTTGTTTATTGCTTTAACAAGAGGATTTTATGTTTGTTTTGAGAATAATCTTGCAATGAGTATTCGTAGAACCGGAAAAGGAAAAGGTAGCTGACTCTTTCTTGTCTTTCTTTTCCTTTTTCTCTCATTTCTCTTCAAAACTCTTCATATTCCTGAAACTCTTTATTTCTTTGTTAAAGCTTTACTCAAGTTTTATTCATTTTTCCTGTGTGAAAGACTTTTTTTGACAATTTTCAACTCTTCACTTGCTATAGATGTTTGAGAAAGATCTCTAATCAGCCAAATAAGAAAAACGATACCTAAAACAAGAGTTAATTGAAACGATATAAACGAACCAATGAGTAAGACTATAGAAAGAAGAACCACAATTTGATACACTTTAAGAAATGAGCTGAAGAAAAAGAAGGCTGAAGTTGCGCCAGCCTGAAAGAGAGAAAATGTTTAGGGGAAGGGCATTAGATTTTTGAAAGCCATCCCTTGTATGAAGTGAAGATCTTCTCAGGCTTGAGATTAAAGGCAAAAGTATGTCAGATTACTTAAAGTTTGTTATAGTTTCATTTTTATAAGACTTTTACACTTATATTTTAATTTTTAGCCCGATCGATCGACTGTAAGAAAAATTAGGGCCATTAGAAGCTTCGTAAATAAAAGCGTCTGGCACGGAGATGCTTTTGTCCATAAAAACTAGTGATTAAAATAAAGGCACTGAAATTTTTAGTGATTTTAATTATTTATTGGTACTTTAAAAAGGTTAATCAAATTCAAATTATTACTTTTTCCTTTAAGCTTTTGATCTAATGTTAATTTTGGAATCCTCTAAAACACCCAAATTAAGCTTATTTCATCTTGTTTTCAACATGGCGACAATTAAAGTAATCAAAATTAGATAAAATAGTTCAAACAAAAATTTCGTTATGAACTTAACATAGAAAAAGTCAAAAAAACATGATTTGAGAAAGAGTTTTAAGATGTGAAGCATTTTCAGCACGATTTCATAAGAAAATATACATCCTAGCAGACGCTTTTTTTTACGGAGCTTCTAATGGCCCTAATTTTTCTTATACTCGACCAATCGGGCTAAAAGTTGAAATCTAGAGGTGAAAAAATGTTGTAAAAATGAAATTATAACAAAATTTAAGTAATCTGACACATTTTTGACTTAATCTGCTTTCATTTAAGGCGAAATACATATTATGGGCCAGCCTGACATTTAATTGGACTACTTTTTCGGTTTTGGTGCGCTTATGAGGTTGAAAATGTGTAGCCATATTCTTTCTGTAGTAAGTGGTACTTTCTATGGAAAAGTTCCTTAAATGGGGAAGTAAACCTGATAAAATTTGGCCACACAGAAAGCGATTGCTGGCTGAGTGGGTAGGGCCCTTGCAGCGGCAGTCATTCGCACATTGTTCATCGCTCCATCCACGATTCCGCACAAAGCGCTAATGATTAAGCAAACGAAGGCTCTAGATAGTTTTAGATTTAGTGCTCCAAGTAGCTTACCTTGGCTGAAACACACCAATTTCTTTTGTTGGCTTCATGCTTGAATCAGTTGGAGTGAAAAGGGTGAACAAGATTGTGAAGAGAACAAATCCTGCACAACAAATTGCCAAAGCCGGGCCAAGACCAAAGTTTTTGACTCGTTTGTTGAAGTAGCTGATTGTGAAACCAACTAGAAATTTGGATAAGCTAGGAAAACACAAATCCAACCAATGAATTCTCCAATTGTTAACCCCATGCAAACATAAGCGACAAGGTTTTTCTGATCTGATAGAGAATCCGTGAATGAAACAGTCGTTGTGTAGATGCTTGTGTAAATTGGAGCAAAGATTCCAGTGAAAATCAGGAATGGAGCTAATTTTAGGAGATTCTTTTGTCTCATTGCCCAACCGACTTTGACTGAAAGATGTTTTGAACAAGGAATTGAACAGGTTTTGTACTTTGATCAAAGAAAAACAGATCCTTTCTAGCATACTCGATTTCACAAAGACGATTCTATAAGAATGCGGATTAAATGCACCAGAAAGGGTTTGTTTCTATTCTTGAGCACAAAGCGCATAATATTATCAATGCAGTACCTAATTGTGCCTTGATTGAATCAACATGTTCCGTTTTCTCATAAAGTGAGTCTTTGATCTTGCGGTTTGGCAGCAAGAAAGCCAAGATTACTGCCAGAAAAGTGATACCAATCATAAAAAGGGTTAAAATTCGAATTTCTGATTCCGAGAAGTCTCGATAAGTAGCTTTTCTCTAAAGTCGAAAGATTTAAACGAAAATTTTGCACTACTGAAGCAGGTGTAGTTGTCACAGAGTCATTTTTGGTTGTTGATAAGTTGGATGATAGGATCATAAATAGAGCGCTAATAAAGTTACTAAAAACTTGTTTATTATTGCAGTTTATGATTACTGTATTGTTTATGTGCTAAAGCTTTGTAGTAAACTCACTTTGTTCCACCGATCATCCAAATAATCGAAGTATTTCTTGTAAATGTTTGACTTGTCGCTTGCATCGCCGAATAAGCACTTGCACCACAGAAATAAGCTGAATACGATCATTTTGATTGGCAAAACCAACTCACTTGCTATTCCCATCCCAGCAATGAATGATGCCGGGAAATATATATAATTTCTCATATAAAGAAAGCTCGAAGAATATAAAGTTAGACAAATTCCAGATAGAATCAACGTTTTTCGAAAACCGATATAGTGGAGAATACAGGGTGATAACAAATTGGTGAAAGTGAATACGAAGAAAACGATGCACTGTCTAAAGTAGTAGAGTTCACTTCAGTGTTTTATATTATTCTTTAACTCTTGAAAGCTATAATCTTTCCCCAAGTGTCTAGAAAAGCTCTATCCAATATCTAATCATACTTTCTAAAACTTATCAATCTTAGAGAACCACAGTAATCCTTCTTCTAGTGCTTGTTTAACAAAGCTCTGTTCAGCACTTACCCATAATATCCAGCAAATTCCACCAAACATTCTGGACATCTTTCCCTCACCGAATGCGCAATCGGCTCGGCGACAAAAGCCATCAAAACAAAGCCGAAAAATGTGAGCACTTGCAAGATTCCGAGAAGAATTGAGGAAAATATCGTGAAGTTGTCATCTTTCATAATAAATATTAGAGAAGATACAAATTTTGTGAACTGGACTTTTTCCCAAATCGATCTGCGAGTTTATCGCATTTTTTGTTTTCGTTTATCGCAGAAACTTGTTCGGAGATGATATCAATGAGACACCAATGCGCCAGTCTCGGCTTTGATAAGACTGCTCTTTTTTGTTTTCATTTTTTTGACTCCTGGAAGTTTTAGCGAATCCGTTTATGTTTCGAAAAATTGTTTTCGCTGTTGAGAACCATGCTCTTCATCCTTCGTTCTCGCTCGCAAGATTAGCGTTTGTAGCTCAGTGGATAGAGCGTCAGCCCGGAAGCAGAAGGTCAGGGTTTCGATTCCCGCTAGATTCTGTTTCTTTGCCTAGTTGTCATTGAAAATGAAAGCGAAAAACGAAAAAATGAAACAGGAGGAGAGAGGAAGGAAGAGGGGAAAGGAAAGAAGAAAGAAAGTGATCTCCTGTGGCTAAAATCTTGTAGTTTGAGGCCTAGTTCCCCTCTTTTCAAAAAAAGCCAGTGCTCTCTAAAGTTTATTTTATTACATGTTCTTGTATATTTTCTTTTCTTTAAACTATTCTTATCCATTTGTTTTCATTTCAGGCCAATCCAGCTCATCGGAAAGAAGAAGTGGAACAAGTTCGACAAATCGATTCATGGAGAGTACGCTTTTTGTAAGTTTTCTTTAGGTTTTATACAAAAAGTGGTAGAAAAAGATGTAGGTTTTGAAGTAATTCAAGAAAAACATTTGCAAGTATTGAAAACAATTAATAGTTAAACAGAGTTTTTGTTTGTTTAGAGCTGCATAGTGCCGGTTCGCAATGGGATGCCGTTTCTCGATGTGTGCCTCGAATCGCTTCTCTCGCAGGATTTTCCATCGACTTCGTATGAAGTAAGGTAATGTTTCAACTTTTAAATATTAAAACCTTGTGAAGATGCTTGGAGTTTCAAACTTTTCCAAGAATTATTGAACTTTTGAGCACTAATAAACTTCCGGGCGCCACTTTGATCCGATTTGGTCAGATTGTATTTTTGACTGTTTTACCAACGTTATTTTACTTTTTCTGGGGTAATCAAGCATGATGAATCTATTGATAATATTTTTAGAAAGTACTGAACAATTTTTATTGATATTTTGATAAGCTAGCTGAAGTTTTGCCTCTGCAGTGTTGTTAAGCGTAAAAATGAAGAGAGGGACAAAACACAAAGTGATAACTTGTTCAAAATATGCTAAAAGTATCGTCAATCGATTAAGCGTATTTGATTACCCCAGAAAATGCAAAACACGCCTAGAATAGGGTCTGACCAAGTCAGTGACCCCCCGCCCGAAGTTTGTTAGTACCAACTTTTGTTTGTTATTAATAATTCTGAAAAAGCATTAAATTTTCACGTCTAGGTGAGCCTATACGATGACGGAAGCACTGATGACACGCCAGAAAGGATTTGTTTTTGGGAGAAACGCTTCAATGAGAAGAAGATTCGCTTTGTCTCGGGTAGCGGCGCAAAATCAGGAGGTAAACTTTTATATAATGAGGATTTATTTTTTGCTTATTGAGATTCGTCTTTAGGTGTTGGATTCGCAAAGAACGCAGCCGTTCGACAAACATCCGGACGATTTCTTTGCTTTTGCGATGCGGACGATGTTTCAAATCGACAAAGACTGCAACGATTGCACGAGAAAATAGAGAAGAATGATAATAAGGTAAATATAAATATTCAAACGTTTGAAACAAACCTATTTGTTTGTGATTGGGTTGCAGCATGCTAAGCTCTTTTAAAATGGCTTTGTCACATCATACAAAAAGCCTGTATTACTATTTTAACCTTTAGACAGCCGACCGACTATTCCTGGGATCATGCTTTACGAGAATGCCTGCCGATTCTACAAGTCGTTTTGCTCGATGGGCAAATTCTCTCAAAAACGAGGATCTATCAGTGCAGGTTACTTTTTGAGAACAATACTGTTATTATACCTGAAAAATAAGTAGATTATACCTAAGATTCATTTTTAGATTTACACATCTCATGGCTCAACGTTGATAGCTCCGACGTGGTGTGTTTCTCGAGCGATTTTCGATAGAATTGGTGGCTTCAATGACGAACACGCGAAAGGATTTCCCGAGGATTTGGATTTCTTTTATCGAGCTTTGGATTTCGGAGTGAAACTTGTAAAGGTTAGCTTTGTGTTTGATTTAAAATGTTGAGAAAAACTATGATGTCATTTTTATACTATTCTTCTGAAATCTATTTGTGTAGTTGTTTAAGATGTAAGAATGTAAGAACGTAAGACGTATGATGATAACGTATGATTTAAGAACTGATTTGTAAGAGATCTTGATTTGTTAGAAAATCTTTATACATAGTTTTGTTCTAGATTGATGAGCCTCTCGTTGAATATCGATATCATCCAGATTGTGCAACTTTTTGGCGTCTCCGAAGAAACAATTTGGAATTTACGGATTCAACGACTTCAAACACGATTCCTTGACAATTTGGCCAACTTCTCAATTTGGAGTGTAGGAAAACAAGGGAAACGATTTTTCAAGTAGGTTTACTGTTTAGATTTAAGTTTAGTAAACAATATAATAGTTTGAAGAATGGTTGAATTTTTTTTATGAATCATATTGAAACTAAAGCGATTGACGAAAATTTTAGATCATTGTCAACAAAAAACAAAAGCAAAGTAGCCGCCTTTTACGATGTCGACGAGAGAAAAGTTCAACACGGCAAATACGAGGAATACGATGAGATCAATCGGAGAGTGGTAGCAACGATTCCGGTGATGCATATCAAGTAAGCGTAAAAGAATAAAGTTTTACAACTTTACTGTAGTCTGTAAGTTTGTAAGTTAAATTTAAGGTAGTAGATTTAAGTGTCAATGAGTTTTTTGAAAAGCAAATCAGAGTTCTTTAAACTAAAAGTTCAAAAAGCATCCATTTTAGAGAAGCCACCCCTCCGATCATCATTTGTGTGAAATTGGACTTAACGGGCGGCGATTTGGAGAATTTTATCGCTGAAAAGCATTGGATTGAAGGAGTTGACTATGTGCATTTTAGTTAATTGTTTTTGTTTTGGTATAGTTTCTTGAACTTGATAAATAATTTATTTCAAACTCAGCAAAAGCAGCTTGTCACGGTTGACATGGTGTTTTTGTTTTTTCGGGTATTGATTCCACAGTGTAGACCCTTCGCAAGTCTTTTAAGAAAGACATAAATAGAAGTAAACCTGAATATTTTCAGTTACAGTACATTTTCTAGGATTTACCTATCAGCAAGTTCACCGTCATCAGTGATACTAATTTGTACACGTTCAGCATCGAGCTCAAATAGTAGAAGGCAGTCGAGGATAAGGCCTGAAAGAGTTTTGAGCATATTGACGTAACATTACTGTTATTGTAACTATAATTACAGTAGCTTTTCATATGCATGAGTCAAGTTTCAGCTCTTACTTGATAAAATTTGGTGAGACAAAATGCGATGGCTGGTTGAGTGGGTACAGCTTTTGCGGCGGCTGTCATTCTCACATTGTGCATTGCTCCGTCAACAACACCGCAAAGCACACCGATGAAGATCGCCATTGAAAAGCTGGAATGGGTCTTTAAACGTACAGCCACTGCAAAGTTCTAGTACCGCAATTATTCTAATAATTACGGTACTAGAACAATACAGTAAGTCAGTACAAATGTTGATACTGGCCGATGAAAAAACTCGCCTTGGTTCCATGTACGAGATCTCTTTCGTTGGATGAAGATTCGACTCTGGTGGCACGTAGAGAAGAATGAGAAAAGAAGTGAATGCGTAAACGACACAAGCAATTCCCATACAAGGCGCCAATCCAAAATCCTTGATTCGCTTGTTCATGAAACTGATCACAAAACCGACTAAATTAAAGATTGATCAAATTTAGCTGGCCTTCTTTTTACTTATCAATTCTCCAGCCGTCAAACTCATGCAAATATAGGCGACTAAATTTGAGTATTCTGCGAATGAATCGGTGAATGTCATCGTTGTCGGGTAAATGGTTAGCCAAAAAGACGTGAAGAAGCCGGTAAACAGGAAGAAAGGTACCATTTTGAGCATTCCTTTTTGTTTCAAAGCCCATCCAACCATTCCTGAACATTTCCTTTACTCAATTTAAGAAGAATTTCAATTGTACTTACCCAATTGCTTTCGAAAAGATGTGACTGGTTCGGTTTTCTCAAACAGAGATCCTTTGATTTCTCGTCTTGGCAACAAACAAGCCAATATGATTCCCATAACACTGACAGCCAACGTTCCAATGGCCAAGATTCTGATCTCGAAATCAGAATATTCACGATAAGAGGCGCTACTCTGGAAATGAAATGGATTTATTGTTGTTATTATATTTGTTTACTGTAATGTTTGATTGCGATTCCATTTCCATACCCAATCCCTTCACCGTTTCAGCCGAAAAGATCATGAAGATGCCGCAAACGACCATGCTAAATGTTTTTGGCTTGTTTGATTTGAAAGTTAAAGGTATTTTGGAAAACATATACTCTAACTTAATCTAAAGTTGAACTCGCAGTTGAACAGATCGTTGAACAGAAGGGTAAGCCAGGGTAAACTAAACCAGGGTAAACTAAAGCAAAATTCAGCTTACCTTGAGCTAGCCAACATCCAAGTGATTGACTGATTTCTCGAAAAGGTTCGATCTGTTGAGTGCTTTGCCGCATAAGCACCTCCGCCACAGTAAAACACTAAAATTGTAGATATAGTGCTTCAAGTCCAAACTCACATGCAAACCCAAGTCCAGCAAGGATACTCGCTGGGAAATAAAGGTAATTTCGAAGATGGAAAAAGCTAGCACAGTAGATAGCGAAACAAACAGATGCGGCGACGAATGTTTTCTTGATGCCCAAGAGATGCAGAATGCAAGGAGCGATCAAATTGGAGAAAGTGTAGACAAAATAGAGAACACTTTGACTGGAAGATAATCAATTTTCATTTTTCCATAGCTGTAGTTTATTTGAATACTGTAAATGTTTCAATAAGTCGGTTTTGAATCTCTATTTTAATATGAAGTTATATCAGGACAGTTATAGTTATTAAACAAATTACCCTGTTTATGAGCAAAGCTTTACTTACCCATAATATCCAGCAAATTCGATCAAACAATCAGGACATCGACTGTGCACTGAATGGGCAATCGATTCGACGATAAAAGCAATCAGATCAAAGCCGAATAGGGTGAACAGCTGCAGAACGCCCAGCAGAAATGAGGCCAACATCGTGAAGTTATCATCTTTCATGTTTGCGAGATTCTAAAGAAAGTTTAAAAATTGAAACCTTGATACTTTGTACCTAGATACAGGAAAGGTTGGGGATGGATGGTCGCACTTTTGTCGCAGAAATAAACCTTTATAGGACAGTTGACCAGCACAGCGCCGACCTGCTCATTTGCATAAGTCATCGTCTGTTTCGAGGAGTTTGTGCAAAAAAATCACTCTCGGGAAGTGGGGAGATCATTCTTATGTAATATGGGGTTAGATTTCAACGAAATTTTTGAGATATTTGCTCGCTTCCAGAAACAGTTACATTTCTTGGTGCAACCTTCGCTTTGGCTTTGTTTTGGCTTTGTTTTGGCGCCTATGGTACACATTCTGATCATCACTTAAGCAAACTTTCGTTTTAATATCAACCATTACACATTTCTGGTACACTTACTGCTTTTCTGTTGCACGGTACAATTTTGGTAAACCTTTCAGTATTTGATACAAGTTCTACTAGTTGTGAGTCATAGCTTTCTTGACAGTCAAACAATGCTCAATATCTTGGCTTTTAATCATTTTCAAAATTAACTATAAAAATGTATGCCAAGACTTGCTAGTTTGCCTAATATTAGGCTCTCCAGAAAGCCTTTTTGTTTCTTTTTGTACTTCCGTTTAAAACCAACAAATGCATCAATTGAACTACGATTTGTTTTATTAGAAAGGTCAATTATTTTTCTGTAAAATAACATTAAAATGGGTTTAAAATGTCTTATGTCTGGATTTTTTTGAGAGTATGAAGTCGGGTAGTCAAAAAGGGCGGTTCGATGATCCGGATTCGATGATCAATGAGGGTCGATGATGCGATTTAGACACTTTGATCCAAAGAAACCGATTTTGGTGTCAATAGATTAAAGGTAGAGTACAAAAAGTTAGGTATATAGCCAAATTTTCAAAGAAATTCATTCACCCAATTTCTTTGTAGAGGCTTTATAGATTTTTACGAAAAAACACGTGTTTTCACTCGCGAATTTGCTTGACAGTTAACCTAAATTGACTTAAAAAGATGGAAAATTGAAAGATAGATGCTTTTTATTTAAAGCAAGGCAATTGGATGCTTTTTATTTAGAGCTTTTTATTTATTTTGGCGTTGAAGGCTTTGGGCGTGGGTCCAGCTGGAGCTTCCATCGGTGCAGATCTTGGTCATAGTAGCAAATATTCAAGCGAGATCCTTGAAGACTGAAGTGGGGGAAGGGTTCCAAGTGAACAGCAGTTGAATGTGGGTCAGTCGATCCTAAGATACTGACGAAAGTCTTGTATCACTGATAGGGGAAGTCTCTTCTCTCTCGGCAATCGAAAGGGAAACGGGTTAATATTCCCGTACCCGGATACGGAGATTTGTACTCTTCTGAGTGCATCGGGCGGTAGCACAAATGAACTCGGTGACACCTAGCTAATTTTTTGTTTTTCAACGGAAGTACGAAAAGGAACGAAAAGATTCTCTGGACACCCTAATAGATTAACTTGAGAAATAATTTGACCAGTGACGCTCAAAGGTTTTCTGTTGGCAGTAAACATTTAAGATAAGAAAAGCTTTTCGTTTTATTATTTGGAAGTCTCATGAAAAGAAGTTGTCAAGAACTCATGCACAAATCATTCTGATTGTCAAAAATTTGTTGTTGCAGATCTTTAGTCACGGTTGTTGTCAGACTGCTGAAGCTGTTCGTTACGTAGGTACAAGTGTAGCCACCAGTGACAATCTGTGAAAGCTAACAATTCAATCAAAAAATTTGCAGTTACCGAAATGTTTTCCCTAGGCATTCCATTGTAAGAAATCCCAGCAAAAGAGAAATATTTGCCATCTTTGAAAAATTTCGCTTTCGCAACTGCGTCCGCTGATTGTGTGATGCTTGTGGCTGAGGTTAGATAGATGATCCAATGGTTATCGATTCGAGAGCGATACGTTCCATCATCGATACTTTGTTGGACTAGATCTAAAGATCTAAAAAGCAGAACTTGTAGAAAATTGGATTTCTCACTTTCTCAGATATTGCCCAATCTTGTTGGTGATTGAGTTTTGAATCACGATCAGGCAGCCAGATAGATCATCCTGAAGATTATATTTTAGATCTAGCTAAGCATCGAGTAGCTAAGCAACCATTCCAAGTTGTCCCAGTGAGCAATACGTGGGTTCATAGTTTGGATCCGGCGAAACCCCGTAAATGCCAACATGAGCGAAATTGCTGTTTGAAAGTGAGGAAACGGTGAAAATGTTGAGAAAATTCTTGATGAATGAAATGTACTGGAATTGATGTTTATTAGTTAAATATTGGCTATTACGTCATCAAAATATCTCTTTGCTGTTGCTGAGATGTCAACGATAAAGATTAATTCAACCTAAACTGAAATGAAGTTAAGTAAAAAGTTTGCAATCACCGCCTTGCTGCTAAGATCGTATGAAGTCGTTGAGGTTGGTGGCGTGGTTGGAGTGGTTGTCGTGGTTGACGTCTAAATAGAAAATGTCAAGAAAGGCAGGTACGCTGTATTAAAATTCACAAATAAAACAAAATTTTATAGGTTTATCGTGCAAATGAACGCTTAAAGATAAGCTTTTCCGTTTTTTTTTCTTCCTTTTCTTTCCTTTCTTTCTTTTCAATCAAGTCATTCTTTTGACCTTTCTTCCGTAAGTTTATTCTTCAAAAAAATTGTTACAAGATTCGTTGAACTAACCAAATTACAATCCGGGACATTTGCTGGTGAAGTTAGGAGAGTGGTAGGACTTGATGCTGTCTATAAAGAGCCTCTTGAACAACTGTTAGTACATATAAGCTTCAATTCTCTCTAAATTTGGTTCCTTATCTCTCTAAATTTGGTTCCTGATCTCCCTAATATAGTTCCTTTTCTCTCTAAATCTAGTTCCTTTTCTCTCTAAATCTAGTTCCTTATTTCTCTAAACTTGGTTCAGTTCAATCTAATCTAATCTGGTTCATCACAGTTAATCTAGTCCATTCCAAGTTCGGTCAAAGTCAGTTTATTTCAGTCTAGTCCAGTCCACTGACTGACCGGGCTGAACGGACTGGGCTAAGAAATCTGGACTGAATCCAGATCTCAAGCTCACTTCTGTTTTCAAAGTTGAAGTCCTTGCAGGTTCAGTTGTTGGCAATGGCTTAAACGTTGATGACGCACTGGGACAAGTACAAGATTCTGCAGTTTTCTTACCTAAAAAACTATTTGACTGTTTTAGTGGCTCGATTAAAAACAGACTTTGATGAATTTTATGAATGCCAACTCCGAGCATTGCCGCACCGGCTGCGATAAAAAGCACACCCACAATCAAAAAAACAATGACCTAAATTGGCTCAAATCCAAAGGAGTCAAAATTAGAATTACAAAAGTTTAAAAAGTTATAGGCACAAACTGGTATAATTGATCTCCGGAGACTTTGTTGGGATGGCATTGCTTGAAATTCTATAGAAAAGCGGTGAGTTGTTGACAAAATTTAGGTGAAGATTAGCTTTTATTCCTTTTCCTATTCTTATGCAATAAATGCAATAAAACCGGGTTATCAGAACAATTTCTAAAAAAAAATGTATTTTTCATGAAATCATTTGCTTCTTTGCCTGGAAAATGACTGACTGTTCCATTTGTTCAGTATTTTCGCAATTAGCCGAGTATCTTGATGCATTTTTGAACTAAATAATCTCTTTATTCAAACGCAATTGTGAAAAGATAATGTTGCTTAGATTAAAGCTTTGAGAACGGTTTTATGTTTAATTCCAACTGATTCTGTTGTCGCAGTTGGGCCGGCTGATTCTGTTGTAGCCGATGCTGTCGTTCCAACTGATTCTGTTGTAGCAGATGCTGTCGTTCCAGCTGATTCTGTGGTAATAGATCCAGTCGTTCCAGCTGATTCCGTTGTAGCAGATGCTGTCGTTCCAGCTGATTCTGTTGCAATAGATCCCGTCGTTCCCGTGGTTTCTGTTGCAATAGATCCCGTGGTTGCCGTGGTTTCTGTTGCAATAGATCCTGTCGTTGCCGTGGTTTCTGTTGCAATGGATCCCGTCGTTCCCGTGGTTTCTGTTGCAATAGATCCCGTCGTTCCCGTGGTTTCTGTTGCAATAGATCCCGTCGTTGCCGTGGTTTCTGTTGCAATAGATCCCGTCGTTCCCGTGGTTTCTGTTGCAATAGATCCCGTCGTTCCCGTGGTTTCTGTTGCAATAGATCCCGTCGTTCCCGTGGTTTCTGTTGCAATAGATCCTGTCGTACCAGCTGATTCTGTTGCAATAGATCCTGTCGTTCCAGCTGATTCTGTTGCAATAGATCCTGTTGTTACCGTGGTTGCTGTTGCAATAGATCCCGTCGTTCCCGTGGTTTCTGTTGCAATAGATCCTGTCGTTGCCGTGGTTTCTGTTGCAATAGATCCTGTAGTCGCCGTGGTTTCTGTTGCAATGGATCCCGTCGTTCCCGTGGTTTCTGTTGCAATAGATCCCGTCGTTCCCGTGGTTTCTGTTGCAATAGATCCCGTCGTTGCCGTGGTTTCTGTTGCAATAGATCCTGTAGTCGCCGTGGTTTCTGTTGCAATGGATCCCGTCGTTCCCGTGGTTTCTGTTGCAATAGATCCCGTCGTTCCCGTGGTTTCTGTTGCAATAGATCCCGTCGTTGCCGTGGTTTCTGTTGCAATAGATCCCGTCGTTCCCGTGGTTTCTGTTGCAATAGATCCCGTCGTTCCCGTGGTTTCTGTTGCAATAGATCCCGTCGTTCCCGTGGTTTCTGTTGCAATAGATCCTGTCGTACCAGCTGATTCTGTTGCAATAGATCCTGTCGTTCCAGCTGATTCTGTTGCAATAGATCCTGTTGTTACCGTGGTTGCTGTTGCAATAGATCCCGTCGTTCCCGTGGTTTCTGTTGCAATAGATCCCGTCGTTGCCGTGGTTTCTGTTGCAATAGATCCTGTCGTTCCAGCTGATTCTGTTGCAATAGATCCCGTCGTTGCCGTGGTTTCTGTTGCAATAGATCCTGTCGTTCCCGTGGTTTCTGTTGCAATAGATCCCGTCGTTGCCGTGGTTTCTGTTGCAATAGATCCCGTCGTTCCAGCTGATTCTGTTGCAATAGATCCCGTCGTTACCGTGGTTGCTGTTGCAATAGATCCTGTCGTTCCAGCTGATTCTGTTGCAATAGATCCCGTCGTTACCGTGGTTGCTGTTGCATTAGATCCCGTCGTTGCCGTGGTTTCTGTTGCAATAGATCCTGTCGTTCCAGCTGATTCTGTTGCAATAGATCCCGTCGTTGCCGTGGTTTCTGTTGCAATAGATCCCGTCGTTCCAGCTGATTCTGTTGCAATAGATCCCGTCGTTACCGTGGTTGCTGTTGCAATAGATCCTGTCGTTCCAGCTGATTCTGTTGCAATAGATCCCGTCGTTACCGTGGTTTCTGTTGCAATAGATCCTGTCGTTCCCGTGGTTTCTGTTGCAATAGATCCCGTCGTTGCCGTGGTTTCTGTTGCAATAGATCCCGTCGTTCCAGCTGATTCTGTTGCAATAGATCCCGTCGTTACCGTGGTTGCTGTTGCAATAGATCCTGTCGTTCCAGCTGATTCTGTTGCAATAGATCCCGTCGTTACCGTGGTTGCTGTTGCAATAGATCCCGTCGTTGCCGTGGTTTCTGTTGCAATAGATCCTGTCGTTCCAGCTGATTCTGTTGCAATAGATCCCGTCGTTGCCGTGGTTTCTGTTGCAATAGATCCTGTCGTTCCCGTGGTTTCTGTTGCAATAGATCCCGTCGTTCCCGTGGTTTCTGTTGCAATAGATCCCGTCGTACCAGCTGATTCTGTTGCAATAGATCCTGTCGTTCCAGCTGATTCTGTTGCAATAGATCCCGTCGTTGCCGTGGTTTCTGTTGCAATAGATCCTGTCGTTCCAGCTGATTCTGTTGCAATAGATCCCGTCGTTGCCGTGGTTTCTGTTGCAATAGATCCCGTCGTTCCAGCTGATTCTGTTGCAATAGATCCCGTCGTTACCGTGGTTGCTGTTGCAATAGATCCTGTCGTTCCAGCTGATTCTGTTGCAATAGATCCCGTCGTTACCGTGGTTTCTGTTGCAATAGATCCTGTCGTTCCCGTGGTTTCTGTTGCAATAGATCCCGTCGTTGCCGTGGTTTCTGTTGCAATAGATCCCGTCGTTCCAGCTGATTCTGTTGCAATAGATCCCGTCGTTACCGTGGTTGCTGTTGCAATGGATCCTGTCGTTCCAGCTGATTCTGTTGCAATAGATCCCGTCGTTACCGTGGTTGCTGTTGCAATAGATCCCGTCGTTGCCGTGGTTTCTGTTGCAATAGATCCTGTCGTTCCAGCTGATTCTGTTGCAATAGATCCCGTCGTTGCCGTGGTTTCTGTTGCAATAGATCCTGTCGTTCCCGTGGTTTCTGTTGCAATAGATCCCGTCGTTCCCGTGGTTTCTGTTGCAATAGATCCCGTCGTACCAGCTGATTCTGTTGCAATAGATCCTGTCGTTCCAGCTGATTCTGTTGCAATAGATCCTGTTGTTACCGTGGTTGCTGTTGCAATAGATCCTGTCGTTCCAGCTGATTCTGTTGCAATAGATCCTGTCGTTGCCGTGGTTTCTGTTGCAATAGATCCTGTAGTCGCCGTGGTTTCTGTTGCAATGGATCCCGTCGTTCCCGTGGTTTCTGTTGCAATAGATCCCGTCGTTCCCGTGGTTTCTGTTGCAATAGATCCCGTCGTTCCCGTGGTTTCTGTTGCAATAGATCCCGTCGTTCCCGTGGTTTCTGTTGCAATAGATCCCGTCGTTGCCGTGGTTTCTGTTGCAATAGATCCTGTCGTTCCCGTGGTTTCTGTTGCAATAGATCCCGTCGTTCCCGTGGTTTCTGTTGCAATAGGTCCCGTCGTTCCCGTGGTTTCTGTTGCAATAGATCCCGTCGTTCCCGTGGTTTCTGTTGCAATAGATCCCGTCGTTCCCGTGGTTTCTGTTGCAATAGATCCTGTCGTTCCCGTGGTTTCTGTTGCAATAGATCCCGTGGTTGCCGTGGTTTCTGTTGCAATAGATCCTGTCGTTCCAGTTGATTCTGTTGCAATAGATCCTGTCGTTGCCGTGGTTTCTGTTGCAATAGATTCTGTCGTTGCCGTGGTTTCTATTGCAATAGATTCTGTCGTTGCCGTGGTTTCTGTTGCAATAAATCCTGTCGTTGCCGTGGTTTCTGTTGCAATAGATCCTGTCGTCCTAGCTGATTCTGTTGCAATAGATCCTGTCTCTGCCGAGGTTGCTGTTGATGCAGATCCTGTCGTTCCAGCTGATTCTGTTACAACGGATCCTGTCATTGCCGAGGTTGCTGTTGATGCAGATCCTGTCGTTCCAGCTGAATCGGTAGCAACAGATGCTGTCGTTCCAGCTGATTCTGTTGCTGCCGAGGTTGCTATTGATGCAGATACTGTGGTTCCAGTTGTTTCGGTTGTTCCAGTTGTGCTGGCTAGTTCTGTTGTGGCAGATACTGTCGTTGAGGTAGATGAATCACTTGTTACACTACCCAAGGTCGTGGATGCAACAGCTGTAGAACTGACGCTGGACGAAGTTATCGTGAGCTGCTCTGTCGTTGTTTGTGAAGAATTTGCCACGCTTGTAGTACTTACATTCATTGATTCGGTGGTTGGCTGCGTTGTGCCTCGAGTTGATGTGTGCTGTTTTAAGGTTGACGTAATGACTGGTACAGTTGTGTCGAGCCGAGTAGTGTTCTGATCAAAGGTTGTTGTATAAATTGTTGAGCGTTCAGTGCTTTGTTCTAGACTCATTGTTGTTTCTTGAACTGGAGTCGTACTCTTTCCATGTGTTGTTTGAGCCGGAGTTGTAGTCTGTTCGGGAGTGGTAGTAGAGGCAACGGTTGTAGTTGTGATGACCACTTGGTTGATGAAGTTCGTGTATGCTAAATGAATTTTATGATTAATGAACTGTAAAATTAATCTTCAATTTCCATTTCTAGTTTATTCATTTCCAAGCACTAACTTTTTTATAATATATTTGAAGTATCCATCATTTCCATTGATCGCACTGGCTTCAGGAAGCACGCTCGTAGTCTGGACGACTTGCGTTGATAATGGTACTACCTAAGTACAATTTTTTAGAGTTCCAACAAATCTGTGAATACTAATTTCAGTGCATTTTCCAATCGATCTGCTTGATCACTCTCAGCTAGATTGAATGCGTAAAGATTAAGTAATGTATTCTTTTGCAGAGCCGAATACGCCTCCTGATAGTCTTGTAAAGGAGATGTGAAGCTAAAGCATGAATATATCCAAAATCAAGTCTTAGACGTACTTAGGATTTGCACTGAAGAACGTGACAAACGTTAGAGTCTCACGCAAACCGTTGGACTCCTTTAGCACTTCTTGATTCAAATATTCTAGCGCTGATCCAAGATTTGTTTCTGATTCAATCGGGAAGTCCGGTATTTCTTGAATAGCCTTTGATAAGCTTTCAAAATCGGGATACTTATTAAGATCAAATGTTGATCCGTTTAATTGACCTTTGTTCGAATATGCAATGAATGCCACCTAAAGTAGGTTTTAAAAAGTAATTCCAAAAGGATAACCTGCACACCCGTCTCATTGATCGTCATTTTGTCGACTAGATCACCAACAAGATCTTTTACCTAATTTTGAATGCTCAATGCTCAATGCTCAATGCTGAATGGTCAAGGCTTTTGGTTACCTGGGTCAGAATCTTGCCTGTTGAGACATCGACAACAAAAACAAAATCAGCGACAACTTCCGTAAGATTCTTTGGCAATGGAAAGCGATATTTTTGATAACCTATTTAATGAATATATTCTTGCAAAATGAACCTAATACTTGATGTAACTTGTTGCACGATTTTTTGATCAGCTTCTGAACCATTGATTAGACTTTTTGGAGAACCAATTGGTAGATAGTCATCAAACGAGGTGAGTTGTTCTCTTTTGACTTTCTCATTGCTCATATCAATGTATAATAGATAAGCATTTTTGTCATGCAATTCCCGTGCGGCTATTATCATTCGATTTTCATCCCATGTGGCTCTAAATTCAGTAAACCAGCTGATCCACTAAACAAACCATCTGATCCACAAACCAGCTGATCCACAAACCAGCTGATCCGTAAACCAGCTGATCTACAAACCTGGTTTCAGCGCTAAAAACTAGGACAAAGGTTTGCGATTGACGCCATCCTTGTTTGGAGATCAACTGGTTTTTGTTGATATGATCAAGGATACTAAAAGAAAGTTTAACAAACTAGAACCTCAACTTACTCCACTAAAAGACTAGGATCATTAGCGTTTGAGTTGTGCCAAGACTTGAATTGATCGCTAAGACATGAAGCATTTGAGCATTGGGAGAGGTAAAATTCTCCCTCTTGCTTGTTGGAATAGTAAACTCCAGCAATTTGAGCTTTGAAAAGGCCGATTGTAAACTTTTCGGCAAAGTTGGTGAAGTAATCGATTACCTGGAACGGTGTTCGGATTTTGATACTTTGGATTTTGATATATCTTTTGAACTTTGGCATTCTTTGAGACTTGAAAACTGCTGTAATTACTTTCTTATATTATTTAGGTTATGGTTCTGGAATAAAGTACGGTATCTGAACCTGAATCTAAAATAGTAGCAGGAGTTTTAGACTTTGGAACCTCGAAACTACTGTAGACACTTTTTGTTTGGCTGTGTTTGGCTGGCAGTTTGTTTGGCAGGTTTAGAAATAAAGTGCAGTACCTAAGCCTGTACCTAGAACTAGAATAGAACTATAGAATAGAGTAGACTATAGAGTAGATCATAAAGTAGGCTATAGAGTAGACTATAGAGTAGATTATAGAGTAGATTATAGAGTAGATTATAGAGTAGATTATACAGTAGACTGTAGAGTAGACCCTTGTAGATCAAGGCTCATATTGATAACACTCACCAGCTTAAAGTCATTGCCAAGATTTGCCAGATCCAAGACGATCACAATATCAGCTGAAACATCAACAGTTTGAATCGGTTGGCTTTGGACAACAATAAGATTTTCTAAAGCTGATCTTTTTTTAAAACAAATCAAATCTAAACCGGCTTCTAGATCATTGAAAAACCGCTGGATCGGTGATCTTTGGCCAGTTGTATTGATTGACCAATCTTGAAGGTTATTAACGAGATAAGCGTATGGTTTCTATATACAAATTGTCATTTATTTTTATATTTACAAACATTGCCCATAAGTTGGTAAGCAAATGGAGGAATAAATGAGCCATTCAAGAAGAACATCGAAGGGACGAATTGGTTTTCAAATGGATCATTCAATTTAAGTGTAAGTGATCTGGAATGGGTTTGGCTCCTATCAATTTACCGGATATTTTGAATGGATTGGCTGCTTCAATGGATTGGCTAGATTGGCTCTTTCAGAATGACCGGACAAGAGTCAAAGAATTTCGAAAAATGGAAACTAAACCAACTTGTCCTGATTTTTCGTGAAGAAAATCACAAAACTGGACGTTGAATTTCGTTTTCCATTCTCACTCACAGTCGACAAGATGAAGTCAATAGCACTAAAGTTTTTCTCATTCTATTAACTCCAACAAAACTTACGCGTCGAATTGTGCATTAACACTTTTATCGCCAGAATTGGACTTGATCGTTCGAATGAAGTCCAAAATGTTCTAAGTTTTGCTTTATCTTCAAACTCTGCACGAGCATCCAAACCTCTGCGCTTTGAGGCTCATTCATCAAACGAGAAGAATTTATCCCTTTTGAGTCAAAGGCCACAATTGCGAAATGAGAGTTTTCCTTTCCAATAGTGAATGACTTGAATGAATCAATTTTCATAAATAATGATTTCAAACCGATATAAAGTTGGATAGAAATCCTTGAACGGAACCAATCGCTTCTTGATCCATTTGCAAATCAATACATAATACGACATCAGCTTTCATTGATGGAATTGGTGGTGGATCATCAGCTAGATGAGAATGGAATAAGCAGGTTGGGCAGTATGTTTTTGTCTTTAAATCTGATAGCACTACACTTTATCTGGTTAATCTCCAAGGCCAGCGCCAGGCCTGGATCCAGATTGCTCCGTCTTATATACGCTGCCGCCTTATATACGTCTGGTCTGGTATCCAGCTTCTGTCCAGGCTTGCTCTGGTCTAATTTACATGTTTACAGCTAAAGCCCGGCTGCCATAGTCTTGATCAGAAGTAAAGTGTTCTAGCCTCAAGCATACAACTCAACGTCTTTGTAAGTCCTCATAACTTACACTGTGTTGTTGTCACTTCATATATAGTCGGACCACATGTGTCCTCTTGAGTACTCAATCCCATTTCTGCATTCAAATAGTCTTTCACTGTCACATATTTGTTGGAGATGTTTTTCATGAATGTTGCCGAAATGTCTCCCAAAGCGATTCCCATTATATTCACCCCGACACCAGCTAGTGAGTGCAAAGAGCCTTGATAGAGATCGTTTGTGTCCAAGTTGTCGCTAAGAATTTGATTAAGCGATAGTTTAGTTCACTCACTCTCCAGTTGTCAGAAACCAAAGCCAATTCTCCTTTGATCGAAAGCCATTTGTCGGTTGATAGACTTGATCTTTCACTAGCTTCATAACTCTAAATATTGATTTTTAAAGAAGACTTGCCAACTAACTCATCAATTCTTTTGATGTTCGAGTGATCGGCTGAAGGGCCATATTGCCAGTCGATGGTTAGTGCGTTGTACAATGAATCCCAGCTGGTATGTTGATTAAAGTGGAACACAACCTAATGGTAAAGTTGTTTCATTCAAAATCGGATTAATCCCAAGCTCTCTACTTATTGTCAGTTAAAATAAAAACCAACCTTGACATCCTGATCAAAGGTGACAAGCGCAATTTGGGTTAAACCCAGCTCCGGACCAATTCTGTATTTGATAAGCGTGTTGATGAGGAATAGTCGAACCTAAAGTGATTTTTGTGCTTGCTTTATTGAAGACTTATTGGAGACTCACCACTTCAAATCCCTCATCATTCAGCGCAGATCCAGTTGCAGAAAAGTCTGCAGAGGTATCTGAAAGAGATCATTGAAAAAGCGATTTTAAATCCGATGGTAAGTTTAGATTCAGGTCGAATATCAAAATCTTTACACAATTGAACAGATCTCGCAAAAGTTTACCTAAAACAATACAAATATCAGGCCAAGTTTGTGGTGGCAAAGGATCCTTTTGGTGTAAGATGGCTTGAGTGGGTTTGAATGGAGGTGGAGTTGCTGAGTTTCCTGAAAGGTTATTAGTAAAGTTATTAATGAATTTGATAAAGCCACATGATCTGATCTGTATGATCAAATGATCTGATCTGTATGATCAAATGATCTGATCTGTATGATCACATGATCTGATCTGTATGATCAAATGATCTGATCTGTATGATCAAATGATTTGATCTGTATGATCAAATGATTTGATCTGTATGATCAAATGATCTGATCTGTATGATCACATGATCACATGATTACATGATCTGTACTCAATCTACCGTATTCTCCGTAAAAGTAGTGCACTCTCTAATGGTATTGCGGTCCGAGAGGGCGTGGAAAAAAATAGTAGTGCACCCTTGAAAATTTGCATTTATTGTGCTTCTTTTTCATCTAAACCTTTTTGACTGAATATCTTTATGCTTATGTCTTTAATATCTTTATGCTTCTAAAGCTATTCAAGCAAGCAAAAGTGAGGCTTTTTTTATTCATTTGTTAACTATTCTTCAACTGAAAAAGTTAGCTAGTTAGCTAACTTGTTAGTTAGCTAAATTGCTAGTTAGCTAAACTAAAATTGTTGTGCAAAGTGCGAAAACATCTTTTTGTTGTTTCTACACGTTGTTTTAGTGGTACATTAACTCAAATTTTCTTACGAAAGCTATAGTCATTTTTTTCGCGCAAAGCTATAGTCATTTTTTGCTCTTATATACCTGTATAAAGTTTGAGGTTGACTTACTTTTTGCGGCGCTTAACGTGCGCTTAACGCTGAACGGCGCTTAACGCTTAAGTGCGCACTACTATTAGAGAGAATACGGTAAACCAAAAGTCACCAACCTCGTCCAGGAAAATTTGCGCACGCTGAATCTCGGATAAAATTTGTGGTTGTGATTGCTGGCTTACTGCCAGGCACCAATGAATTCCCATCAACTAGCTAAAAAGCTACAAATAGACATCAAAAACTTTATCCAAACTATGTAATCATCCCACGTCAAATTGGCATTTTCAAATTGCGTTAAATCCATCGATAGTCCGATTCCAAACAAGAAAACACCTTTTGAGTTCAGGAATTCTTTCTTAGCACTAGCATTTTCTTTGTCTGAGTCCCTGAAAAGAAATAAGTTGAATAATTTAAAGAAAATTCGATTTAAATCGCAGAATTACTTGTTTTGATCTCAAATTTGAGCTGAATAAACTAACCAAAGCTTTTCCGTTACCACAACAGCTGACAACGATGCATAGCTTCTTGAATAAGCTTCATATTGTTTCCAAATCTCATTATAAGCTCTAAATTTGTTTATGAAGTCAAAGTTGGCCAACTTTCAAGCTTACAACGATAATTGATCATTTAGAGTTCCTGACTGATATTTGATAGCTTTAATTGCCTCTATCGTTGTCGACATATTCCAATTAGTGGGAAAGCTTTGGATTGTTGTAGCTGTATTACCAGAATAGGTGACAATCGTGAATCTCGTCAACTGGAATCAATTCTTAAAGCCGATTAAACAATCCGAACTTTATCCATCGATCCAACATTCAATCCGCCGAAAGCTGGTGTGAGGCTTTCAATTAGAAACTTTTTCATCTAAACATCTTATTCTCAAGCTGAAAAGTTTAAGATTACATTGTTAAATAAAGCTTCAGTTGACGGAATCTGCAGTATTAAAGCAATATCTTGCGGATCTTCACAAAAATCTTCTGTAAGAAAGAATTGCATTTGGATAAGAATTTAGATTCTACTGATTATTGGTGGCTTTGTGGGATCGGTGGGTACTGTTGTGATGATGACGGGACGAGCGGTTGGGATGGTTTGCGTGGGAGCGGCAGTGGTTACGGGTTGAGCTAAAAACAAGTTCAAAATCATAATAGACCTGTTATTGGCTTAGCTGTTTGCATAAAAGCCAAGACAAACCCAAAGTTGGACACGCCGGTTCTTTTATTGGTTGGAGCTGGGAATATAAAACATAATTAACCGCGGGATTCGAACCCGCTACCTCTTGTCTAACAGATGAACGCTCTACCAATGAGCTACACCATCGCGTGGCCTATTGCCTTATGTGTCCCATTTCAGAATATAGCCTTATGCCAACCTTGACAAATCCAATTCACTTGCAGAGTCAGGACTTCTGGATAGCTGAGTTGATCCCAAGAGTCTATGAAGGCTGTCTTGTATTTGGAATCGACCAGAGATAAGTAGGTGTTTTTTATAGTGGTTGATGTACTGAAATTGACTCAAAATCAAACTCAAGAGCTGCTTAAAACACACCTTGAGACAATTGTCGTGAAATAGAAAGTCTTTGCGACAACAGCGGCAAGCTGACGACTCCAGCTTTCACCAAAACCACCATCATATTCACTAAAAGTACAATAAGCTGTAATTTTGTTAACCAAGTCGGGACAACGATCGTTTTGTTCCCCCAACTCATTTTGGGGGAAGGGGAAAATGGAAAAGGTCCGGGTAAACCCCATGGGTTTCACTTCTGCCACCCACTTGTGGGGAACGAAATGATACTATCAAATCGTCACCCACGTGGGGACCAGAACTGAAAAGATGGGGGGGGGGGCAAAAGTGGAATAACGTTTCGAATTTTGCCCCCATTCTAGATGTATCAATTTCCCACTGCTTAGTCATAAAGGGTGGGGGATTAACCCGGGATAGTGGAGGAGGCGGACAGGACTGAAATGGGGGGCAAAAGTGAAAATTTTCCATCAAGCCTACAATCCATCAGCTATAATCGTCAGTGATCGGGCTTTTCCTGGAGATAGTTGAGAAGAAAGGGAAGTGAACTCGTCGCGAATGAATTCAAGAGCTCTGAAAATCGTTTATGTTGAAGAAACTTTAACTTCAGCAAAGCTAAAGCGCTGCAGCTATAGCGCTAAAGCTGCTAAAGCTGCTAAAGTTGCTAAAGCTGCTAAAGCTTGAAAAGAAGCTTTAGCAAGTACAAGAGTAGTTTCCAAAGTGTAGTCTTTGACGGGTCAAACTGATCTTGGTTACATTTTAAACTCGTTTTCTAAATCTGGACTGAAATTGACTAGGTAGGTAGTTTGGCACTAATTTCTAAGCCTAGTTTAACTGACTTGACTACTTTTGCACTAACAAATCCACCTTGTCGTATTGTGACTTTGTGAGGTTTCATTGATAAACAAAGCATCCACCGCATCATTCCAACAAGTCTATAACTTTCAATGCCTCTTTCATACACTGGCAAGAGAAGGTCCAGTTTCCTCCAGTTCCCTTGTAAGCCTCACTTGATTTTTGCACAACCAATTATTCAAAATGTATGCATTGCTTCCATGAAACACTCCTAATCCCATTTCAAACGTATTCCAAACAGTCTCTTCGGGCAGCGTTATCAACGACACATAATTCTTGATCTAAACCCAAAAAAAGGCTCACACTCTGGTCTTATCAAATTACGGCTTGGAGCTTAATTTGAGGCGAAATTGTGGGATCGATTGGTTTTGCAATGTCCACCATTACAATGACAGTTCGCCCAGGAATTCGTGGATCACAAGGAAAACCTGGGGAAATGGATTTTTGGGTTTATGATTAGCATACCTTTAATTGGTGTGGGATTTGGAGGTGGTTGTTCAGCAATGATTTGAGCAATAGCATCTGTACTTTCTAAAGAAAACGATTGAGTTGATATTGATTAAATTTGAAAGGCCTGAATGCTCAGTTTCTCAGAAAATAAGCCAAAAATTGTCTTTACCTAGTTGGGGTCATTTAGACTAGTAATTTAGACTTAAAACTAGGCTTTTTTTGCTGAGGGATTTGACCATATTTAAACTAAAAACGAATTTCGATACCAGCCATTTTCGATGTCCAATTCATTGCTTTGAATATGGAATTTAAAGTTCTTTGATCAACTGGATCAGCGAATAAAAAAGTTCCATAAAAAATCGTGGTTGTGTTGAATGATCTGAATTGTTTGGGAATGAAACTGTAGTGAATAGTATTGCAAAGATATTTAATACGTTATCACGTCTTACTGTGCAAGATAATCCGGCCAAACAGCAAGCGGCAGCGGTACAGTCGGCTCAATTTTAAAGCTCATAAACGAATTTTGAGTCGCTGGTGAGGTCAGAATTTCCGTCACCTAAAATCCATTTGTCTAAAGAAATCTATGAAATAAATCAAATCACATTTTGTTTAAACTTTTCTATAGCTTCTTTGTAATCATCGGTTGAGTTGAGATAATATTGGTCATTCCAGGGAAGTCCCGGATCCAGCGAAAAGTAGAGCAACTTTGTGTGATTGCTGATTCCAATTGGGCAGTCTGAGGCTGGGCATTTTATCGGTTTTGAATCACCTAAATGAGTTAAAAGCTTAATTTAAAAGCTTCTCAATGTTTTTTTTACATTTTTTATTTATTTTCGAGAGCCCAATGCCAAGGAGAATGGCGGCGACTCCAATCAAAATGGCGCTTGCTGTGAGCAGAAGTATGGAAAACTAAACAGAGGTATTGTAGGAAAGAATTGATTGATATACAAAATGGTTTAGTAGATCTAGCATATAAGGATATAAGAATGTAATACAGGATACAATAATGTAATCTCTTATTGCTAGATCTCGAAATGTCAACAGCTCGAAATGTTAGCCATAAGAGCTCAAAATGTCAACCATAAGAGCTCAAAGTGCCAACCATAAGAGCTCAAAGTATCAACCATAAGAGCTCAAAATATCAACCATAAGCAAACCCTCAACTTACCCTTCTAGCTTGTTTCATTCTATATGGCATCCAAGTAAAACATAAGCTAGACAGAAACTCAATAACGACTTAAAATTTTTGCTGGAATATGCACAAGCTTTCCTAGCACATTCTCTACTTAACTTGCCCCTTTCACGAGATTATTTACGTCGAAAGGCCCTCTGATAAGACGAAATTCTTCGATAAGACTCAATTTTATGTGTCATGCACAAAAAGAGTGGTTTATGAGAGATTTAGTTACTATTTTTTGAAACATGGTTAGTTGAATTAGTTGAAGAAAGTTAGTTGAATTCAAAAGTTGAACGCTTGAAAGCAGAATTTGAAAGCAAGGCGCTGAAAAGAGCAATCCGGACTTTCATTCTTGCATAACCGATGTAAGCCTTGAAAATTTGAAAAAAACACTGCAATATCTTTCTATGAATGTCCTTGTCATGTTCTGAGATTCAGAAGTGCTTGTTGATAGACGTAGAAGTGTCTAAGAGGTGATCAGATCGATTCAAAGAGGTGATCAGATCGATTCAAATAAAGAGATAATGATCACTCTTTGTTTTATGCTTGATAAAACGATTTTGAGCATAAATCTTTGAACAGATTACTGCAATATCTTTCTATGAATCTCCTTCTCATGTTCTGAGATTCAGAAGTGCTTGGTAAGAGAAAAAAATCTTATTGAAACAGCTTATAAATAACGTGACATGATGGGCTAAAATGGATATCTTACCGTAAATACTGTAATAGTACCCCACCCCCATAATGACGGTGCGGAGTGTTGCGTAGTCTAGCTTTGGACGAGCTTTTCTCGACACTGGTTTGTGCTACAATGCGCACTTAGGTATCAAAAAATAGCCCTGAATTTCACCTATTTTTTTGATCCAAAGATGCATTTTTTGAAAGTACGGGTTTTTACAGTATTTACGGTAGGTAAACGTGGATTTACTGCACGATTGGGTAATTAAGCCGTTAGTGATCCATTTTCTGACCTTTAACCTAAAGCAGCGAGTACCAGAAGCCGTCTTTTCTTCTGATTGACACAGTTAGCTCTTGAAATGATTCTTTTCTATTCAGGCAAAAGGAGCCATGCTTTCTTATGTCAATAAAGCCTAAGAATACATTGGGAAATTCACCGATCGAGTCGCTCTCGCCTACTACTCGAATCCTGATGGTTTGGGAGTTAAATTAGAAATCGAAATCTAGAGCTTTAAATTACCTACCGTAAATACTGTAATAGTACCCCCACCCCCATAATGACGGTGCGGAGTGTTGCGTAGTCTAGCTTTGAACGAGTTTTTCTCGACACTGGTTTATGCTACAATGCGCGTTTAGGTATCAAAAAATAGCTGAAATTCGGGGCTATTTTTTGATACCAAAAATGCATTTTTTGAAAGTACGGGTGCTTTGAAAAAAATTAAATACTAAAAAACATTTGCGACTACGCGACTGTACGAGGGGGTGGGGCACTATTACAGTATTTACGGTATGTTGTAGCTGAAGAAAGGCAGAAGATCTATTAGGCTGTTCAGTGAATCTTTTCGTTCCGTAGTTCTGTTTAAAAGCAATAATTAGAGTTAATGATTGTCCGTTGAAGTGTCGTCAAGTGCTGTAGAAGTTTGAAGAATTGTAGTTGAAGGACTTGTGCTAATGGTATTGGCTAAGATGGTTGTTGTAGTACCAATGGCTATGGTTGACGTTTACAGTAAAAGAGTTACATTTTTCAGTGAAAACCCTTTCATTTTATCAATTGTTTATCTTTTCTTTGTTCTTTGAGCTTAAGCGGAACACTTTTTGATCACTTTCACGTGGCCAACAAGTGACCCGATCAGTTTACACAGAAGCAAAAACATAAACTGATGCTTTTCACGTAGCTTTTTCAAAGTTTATCGATTCATTTCCACAAGCTATATGTGTTTCATTCTTTTGATATTTCTAATTTCTCGATGCTTAGGTGAAATTTGAATCAATTGGGTTGGTGAATTGACAAATGCAGGCTATTGTCATCTGTCACAGTTTGAGCACTTTCTTCAAAAGAAACCCATTTTGGTGTCAATGGAAAAGTTGTAGAGAATCAAAAATCAAGCTTGTATCCAAATTTTCAGAACGATTCAAAAACTGGCTTTCAAGAAATGCCTTATTTACGAATTTTCACAAAACTTGCATTTTAAGCGAAACTACTAAGTGTATCTTTTTGGAAATTTGGCTATAAGCCTAATTTTTGATTCTCTACAACTTTTCTATTGACACCAAAATGGGTTTCTTTTGAAGAAAGTGCTCAAACTGGGCTGACAGCTGACATCTCCAGTCCTCCATTTTTGAGTCTCACACTTGTCTCACACACAAACCAAAATCCTCTATTGCACTCGACAATCTGCCACCGGGACATATTCGTCATGTCATGCTTTATGAGTTCCTACAAGAGCACATTGCAGGCTTGGCAGTTGCTAATATTAAAAAGATATATGGGAGGACTCACCTTCCGAAAGAGCGTGTCGAGTATGGTTTGCCAAGTTTCGATCTGGGGACAAATCTTTGAAAGATGCAGAAGGCCGTGGAGCGGCACCCCAACTGGATGATTCCAAATTACTCGAACTCATTACCAACTGACTCGCTCTAAAATAAATAGCCTTGTTTGGGAACTTTTGGCGCACTCCCCATACAGTCCGGACCTCGCCCCTTTTGATTACTATTTATTCCGGATCATGAGCTTGCCGGAGAACACTTTTCGATTCGGAAGAAGCAGTCAAAAATTGGCTTTGAAAGTTTCTCAATTCAAAACCAAAATCCTACTACGAAAGAGGAATCCCCAAATTGGCTGTAAAATGGGCAGAAGTCGTCAATAATAATGGAAATTATTTCGAATGAGTTGATGGTTTTATGTTGAATAAATTTTAGTTCAAAGTCCTGCAGTTTTCCATTCACCAACCCAATATTCTTTAGTCTTATTGTGATCTCAAATCTGTATCTTTAGCAACGAGTGATGTATGGAAAGCGTTGGATGAATCGCATTGTACAGGAAGACTTTACATAGTCACGTCCGACGAAAAGACGCACATATTGAAATCACCAAATTATCCGCTACAGTATCCCGACAATTTCACTTGTTATTATTTGGTGAGTTTGGTTGAAAGGAGGTGAAATTGTGGGCATTCAACGTTTTGGCGTTCAACGTTATCGTTTAATTCGCACAAATACAGTAATAAAATAAGATATTCAGTTAAATAATCTATCTAGATCGGGCACAGAGATGGCTGGTGGACATCTCTAGAGTTTGATGCTTTTGAAAGTGATCCAGACGATTATATGCAAATCACGGAACGTATTGAATTCAATAACACAAAATACGATATTCCCCGGGCATTGTAAGTGAAAATGGGTATTGTATATTCGTTTTATGTTTAGTCTCCGAGGCTCACAAACTCAATCGACTCCTTTTATTTCGGGTGACACTGGGAGCGATTTTTTGCTCACATTCAGAAGTGGAAGTGGAGGAAAAAGTGCAAAACGAGGATATGGATTTCACTTGACTGTGAAAAGAACAGGTAGATTTGCAAATTGAATTAAAATCATGAGCCTTTCATGGAAATTGGCTTTGGTCTGGTCTGGCTTGGCTTTGGTCTGGTCTGGCTTGGCTTTGGTCTGGTCTGGCTTAAGACTGGTGCGGCTGCTTGTCCTAGCTTACAGCAAAACCTGTCCTAGCTTACAGCTTAACCTGTTCTAGCTTACAGCAAAACCTGTCCTAGCTTACAGCTTAACCTGTCCTAGCTTACAGCTTAACCTGCCCTAGCTTACAGCTTAACCTGTCCTAGCCTAGTCTCGTCTAGTTTGACTTGAACTCATCTAGTTTGACTTAGTCTAAGAACAAACCTAGCAAACTTTACTTCAGAGGACACAGAAGCAACGCCAGCTCGTTGTCGAACGCCAATCAATTTCGTAGACCCGGATGGACAACGATTAGAAACTGATAAACCGGGAAACGAATTCGATCCAGGTTTGTCTAGAATTAGATTTAGATTTTATTTGGCTTAGAATTTGGTGACAAACTTGGTGAATTTGAATTTGAATTTGAAGCTACTTCTCATTTAATAGTTAAGCATACAAGATTGGTTGGCCATTTCAGGTTGCACAAAAC